TGTGGCTTGACGAACATCGGAACGCGCGTTCGGTAAGCAGATACGAGCACTTAGCTATCATAGTCACCATTACCAATCGGCCCTGTGAGAGATAATCCATCAATTTATTGCCTGAGGCTCAAGCGTGATGGGGATAGTCCGAGTATGAATGGTACCGGTGCGAATCACTTTTCAGGATTGGCCCTCGTGATTCCTCTTGTGCATGGTTGGAGACGTTGCAAGATATGGGTGGATCGATGTTAGTGGCGATCTGGTTACCAGTTTCCATATAGATTGTCTGACTGTGTGCCTGTAGGTGTAGGAACCTTGGGTTGATTGTATCGGGCTGGTACTAAGCTCCTATCTCGCACATATTATTTCACTGCTTCACTGCAATACTTTTAAAGAAGCTTTGGTTGTGGGGTAGCGAAGAATCAGTGGTCAACGTTGCTACTATGTTGTCGATGATGATCATAATGATAACGTACGTTGTAATAGGAAAACTTGTCGACGGCTATATGTGTAGCCCAAATAATAACAGTCGTTCCGCTGTAGCACCCCTTCGGTACCTAACTGCCGTGCCACCAGAAATAACCACGAGGGCTGGGATACTGCTAGGTTGCCTAAGCCTAGACACGAGAGGCAGAGGTCGGGTTCGAACCACGGACCTTCCGGTCAGTAGGTTCGCGCTCTAACCACTTAGGCGATCTCGTCCCACGAGCTTGAGTACCCAGCTAACTAGATAACTCTACTGCAAAATGCGCTTTACACCGACAGTGTAAAGTGCTACTGGAATTTGGCCGCACGTATGCAGATGAACGAATCGGTTTGGCAAATGGCTGACCTGACTTGAAGGTCAGTTTTTGTCAACATTTTTGCCAACAATGGAACATCAGCTGGTCTGTCAAGGACGACGCTCCTTCTGGTAAGTAAATTCGCACTCTAACAACTGAGCCATCTAGCCCAATTTCGCGATGTGCGTAGAATTTTCAGCAAATGGGCATCAAAGAGTTGTTTCGGGGACAATGAAAGTGAAACATCATATTGAAGCCTGAGAAGCCTTGGTTTGGGTCGCTTCTTCGCCAACGCTAGACAGCTTGATCAAGCAAGCTGTGATCAGATTCAATGTTTCGTATTCCAGCAGTCATTGTCGGATACAGATGGACAGCATCCCACCTTCAAAACATCACGGACGGTACCACCACGATTCTCTTCGACAGTGGCCACCTGCACGTTACAGCTTCCGGAGAACATGAAGAGTCTTTGGATAAACGGATTAAGGAATTGATACACAGGATCAAGGTTTTCGCCCAAGCTTCCAGGCTCGGGTTTGTTTCAACGTTCACCCGAATGGGATAAGCGAAAAACCATAGGACAGCAAGCATGCCAGGCCGTGAGCCCACATAAAAAGTGTCTAAAAGAGCTTTGAACTGGGTACTAGATGCCGCGCGAACAACCGTCGGAGGAAGTTTGTTCCACGCGGCAACTACCTGGAATGTGAAAAATTGTTACCCAACGAAAGTGAGACCTCTCAGCTTGAAAATCTACTCACCAAGTCCCTGTCGTGTGGGTCAGCGGTGAAAAACCTGACGGACAAACCTTGTTCGGAAATGGCATGAATAAGTATTAAGTTTCCTTAGAGGTGACGATACTCCAGAAAGAGGTAAAGCGCCGCAAGAGTGCTTCAAAACCAACGGATTTAATGCCAGAATTCATTTTCGTTGCATCTCTTTTGACACGCTCAGTGAGGGTTACATCCTTCTTGCGTCCTGAGTAGAAAACCTGGCTGGGGCACTCAAGAAACGGTCTGACGTTGGCCCCATAGAGTGTCCACGAGAGCAGTACAAGAGGTGTGCCGAATCAACTGGAGAACGACGAATGAATTTTGAGCAGATTTTTCAAGGTGCAGTGAGGACAAGTTTGAAGAGAGCAATTCTGATTCATATCAAAGCGCATCATAGTAAACTTTTTTGACCCAATTTCTAATTTCGAGTGCCCAACATAGATACCGCTTTAGTGGAAAAGTTATACAGGACCATTATCCAGAAAGTTCACGAGGCTGACGCGATGTCCATCCAGAAAAACGAGCACGCAGTAGGATGGACCGCAAGCTACCTAGGAGGATTCAGCGTCTTCTGGAAAAGAGGTCTCAATTATTTCTCAAAGTTGACTGCAGGAGACAGTAGATGAGCTGATGTTCCGCAAAATTCGGAACCGCCCTAAGTCAGAAATGTGCCAACGGAACGCACGAAAACCAGCAATAATGCTAAATCTTGCCTGGAAAAACAAGTTTTTTAAACAGGAGACCGGCGTTTGAACAAGCCAACCGCATTCGCCGTAAAGGAAAGAAACGGGTAACCCACGAGTGAGGCAATTGTGGTACATGAAATCTACAGAGAAAACTATGTAGACCTGTATTCTGTCCCGGTGATTTCGTCACACCTAGTCTTTTCCAGGCGTAACTGTGAACGGCCTCTGATCATTTGCTCCTCACAGATGAGGAAATTTGTCAACTCCTGCAAGAGACAAACCTGTTCTGCGCGTTGGAGCCAGACCAGGTCTATCCAAGGATCTTGAACTAAATGTTATTCACACTAGGAAAGCACTTTTACCTAACGTTTCGTCAGTCGCTTGAGGAAGGCGACTGTCATGCTAGTGTACAAAACTGGTGAATGACTACTGCCCGGCAAGGTGGCTCAGTAGTTAAAGCGCCAATTTACTGATCGGGAGGTACGATGTTCGAAAACGACCTCCGTTACTCGACTTCTGCCTAGGCTTGGGAACCTGACAGTATCCCAGCCCTCGTGCTTATTTTTGGTGGCATTCAACCGTTCACCTGTAGCACCATTTCGGTGCCTAGCTGCCATGCCACACGAAGGAGGCACGAGGGATGGGATATTGCCAGGTTGCCCAAGCCTAGACAGGGGAAGTCGAGAGGCACAGGACGGGTTCGAACCACGGATCTTCAGGTCAGCAAATTCGCGCTCTAACCACTTGAGCCATCTCGCCCCATTTTTGGTGGCATGGCAGTTAGGCACCTAAATGTTCTACAGCTGGCCAGTTTCGATTTCTCCAAAGCATTCAGTCGAGTCCCACACGTCTTACTGGTAAGAAAACTCGAGTCTCACGGGATTCAAAAGGAAACTTTACGCTGGATTAGGTGGTTTCTATCAAACAGTACATTCTGAGTGAAAGTAGGTTCTACCTAATCTTCTCAGCGCCGGTCTCCATTGGAGTTCCGTAAAACTGTTGTTTCTGGTCTACGTCAACTATTTCTAGAGTTTTTTTCAAGCCTGTCTGCTTTTTGTGAACTTGAAATCCAGAAGGCCAAGTGCCAGTGCCCTCAGAATGGATGTAGACGCTGCAAAGCGGTGGCCTTTGGGCTGGCACCTTCCTCCGAATGACGAAAAGTGCGTCCATGTGTACTTCAGAGAGGGCTCGGCGAATGGCTTTGTGGTGTATGGTGAGAATGGAGCAGAAGATATAACGATAGATGCCAAAAAGCACTTTCGCATCTGGCTCTCTCCAAACGTGTCCTTCTCACAGCACCATGGGAAAGCGGATCAAGAGGCATTCACGGTTAACGAATGAACCAGCCCACCTTCTCCAGTTTTACTGATATGGATTCCCAACTACTGTAGGGGGCCTACTTTAGACCGCTTCTGGAATATACCACCCAAACCTTCAACTGAGAACGCAATAAGGACGTACTCCTCATTGATCGTGTTCAACAAGCTGCGACGAAAATGGTTGTCGGCCTTAAATCCACTATGAAACGCGTATTGCGGTTGTTCAGCTCTTTCCCATGGACTATCATGGCCTCCGAGGAGACCTAATACTTATTCCATGTTTAAACACGTTTGTCAGTGTTGGCCCAGAAGATACACGGCGAAGACATAGGTTTGTCCAACACGTTTGTCACTGTTGGCCCAGAAGATACACGGCGAAGACATGGCGAGCAGATTTTCAAGCTCAGTGAGCACACTTTCATCAGATAATTTTTTTCCTTATTTTGGATAGTTACTGCGTGAAACAACCTTCTTTGTGCGACTGTTCACGCTGCACCTAGTATCCGGTTCAAAGCACTGAGACGATGTTTTTGCGAGCCCCCGCACTGGCAAGCTTACTGCTCCGCGCTGAGAACATAAAGAGCATTGCTACACCCCTTTTCGCCTGTGAGACTCAGGTAAACGACAGTCACTGAACGACAAGCACAAGTCCTGGCCTGGAAACTTGGGCGAAATCACCGACGCCGTGTATCAAACCGCAACCCTCATATTCGGATTTCCGTGCTACTGGCAATTAACTCAACCGTCCAAGGTCACACGCATTCACAGATTGATACACAGGATCGAGGCGTTTGCCCAAGTTTCCCGGGTAGGCTTTGTACTTGTCGGTCAGTGGCTGTCGTTCGCCTGAAAGGCACAAGTGAAAAAGGGTGTAGCACTGCTCGTTTTTTTTTGTGGCGTTTTTGTACCTTTATTTTACTTCCATTATAACACTAGGTATTTCATCAATTGCATAATCGTTTTTTGTTTGAATACGAGAAACTACAAAAAACGCGCCCTTGTACAATTTCACATAATACAAGCGTGGTCACGTGCTTCGACTCTCTCTTCTGATTTCGCTCGCGCTTGCAGCGGTCATTCGCGAGTCTCATATACTAACTCTGGTACCCAAAACATTTCAGACTATCTTCGGAATCTATTATATGTGGAAACTGTTCAGAAGAAGACCTCTGGACCAACACTATTGGATTATTGTTTATTCGCTGACCTGGGCCAACGACGAACTATTTTAAAGAGAACAATTGTTAGTGAGTCTGTTCCATCTGACCTATTTATTTTTGTATACCCAACTTAGCGTAATTATTTTTATTACTTTGCCACACACTCCTGGTAAACTGACTTATTGGGTAGCCAGACCACTACAAATTTGGTGAGCCCGAGTATTTCTAGATTTTTTTTTTGAAAACTTTTCCTTTCAAATCGTCGTAATTTTACTTCTTTTGCCCGGTAATCATGGAGGCACACTTTGACTCAGCGGAATTAGTCGAGAATGCAATTAGTATACGTTTACCAGACTATAATCCACGCAACCCAAGGGTATGGTTTCACCAGGTTGAGGCCGTTTTTGCCACCCGACGCATCGCTTCCCAAGTCACCCGGTTTTCCTATGTTGTCCAGCATCTTCCTTGTGATGTAGCAACAGAAGTTGAAGATCTGTTGGAAGATATTCCTAAGGAAAATCCGTATGACGCCCTTCGAGCGGCCGTCATAAGTAGGACAGGGAAATCAGAAAACAAAATGCTGCGGGACTTATTCACCACCGTCGAACTTGGGGACAGATCGCCATCACAACTGCTTCGCCACATGCGCAGTCTCCTCTGCGGCCGTAAGCTAGCAGAGGAGATCATGGCCCAACTATGGCTCGACGAACTCCCACCCTCCATGTCCCACGTTATCAGCGCTCTCGTTGATGAACACAGCATAGAGCAGCTAGCCCGGATGGCGGATAAGATACACGAAACATACCCCAGTAACTCCGTAAACTCCGTCTCCAGCCCTGCACACACTACAAATTCCGCCCCGCTTCTTGCTTCTATATCGCGCCTACAAGCCAAGTTTGACGCTTTGACCGATCGCCTACAACGGTTAGAGATCAACAGGCATCGACCACGTTCACGATCCAGATC